TAGCAATACATGCGGCAAACAAAGGACAGAAAAACAATTTTTTTCAAAGGTGGAAATCCACAAGACTGTACATCACATAATATAACACTTGCAAGTGTGACCACACAAAACTCTGAGGTTTCCCAGAATTTTTCCTGGTGTGCTTCTTAGTAAAAATGAATCACAGGAGAGAATCTTTCTTACATTTAAAAAAAAAAAAAAAAAAAAAAATCACTTGCTCACTTCAGTACCCACCAGGAGTCTGCCATGTACCAGGAGCTGCAGGGACAGCTGTGAATCAGACAGCAGGTCCCCGCTGGTCTGGGAGCTCTCGGTAGGCAGGCCATTCCAGAACAATGTGGTGTCATGACAGAGGCAACCCAAGGGCTGGGAGAGCACCAGGAGGGACACTTAATCTAGACTTGAGCTTCTTGGCATGTGGACTGCTCCTAAATAAGACCTAAAAAAACAAGGGGCGCCCAGCCGGTGTGGCTCAGTGGTTGAGCGTCGACCCATGCACCAAGAGGTTGCCCGTTTGATTCCCGGTCAGGGCACATGCCCAGGCTGAGGGCCCGATCCCCAGTGGGGGGCATGCAGGAGGCGGCCAATCAATATTCTCTCTCATTGATGTTTCTATCTCTCTCTCCCTCAACCTTTCTCTCTCTCTAAAAAAAAAAAAAAAAAATCAATAAAGAAAAAAAAATACAAAGCATCAGCTAAGGGAAGGTACTAAGAGTGCTAGAAGCAACGGGAAGGTCCCAGTTGAAAGGGAAAAGCATGTGCAAAGGCCTGGAGCAAGCGTGATCACAGAATGTTGAAAGTATCAAAGAAGGTTCAGGTTAGCCGGAGTTCAGAACCCTGTCTCTCTCTCACCAAGAAGGACAGCATTATGGTTACAATGCTGAGGCGGGCATGAGCCTGTAGGTGTGCATTCACACAACAGGTGGTAAGTGCCAGCACAGCAGCACATAAGACCCCAAGAGACCATCTCACCAATCCTTGGGGGACAAGGAAACGTCCCTGAGAAGCCATTCATTCTTTGAGCTGAGAGACAAGTAGGAGTTCCCCGCCATGCAGGGGGAGAGAACAGCCCCGAGGAGGAGCCTGCCATGGGAATGAGAGAAAGGACAAGAGATTGGGTTGGAAAGGTACATGGGGACCAGATGAAACAGGGTCTATGTGCCATGTTAAGGATTTGGGAGTTATCATAAGCCTAGAAGGGTCTTAAACCTGGGAGTATCATAACCATCTTTACCTTTTAAAAAGATCATTCTGAAAGAGAAAATTCCACAAATGCTGAACTCTGGTTAATGAAATGCATGCTTGGATGATTTAGGAGAAGTTATGCTGATGTCTGCAATCTCCTTTGAAATGTGTGAAAAAGATGATGATTGACGGATGACTAGAGGGCTGGAGGGTTGGCTGGAGGGGGCACAGAAGACAAAGTGAAATGGAAATGGTCAAATCTCAGTGAAAGACATGTGCAGGTCCTTTGTAAAGTTCTCTCAACTCTCCTTGTGTTTGACATTTTGCATAATAAAATACTGTTCCCAGTATTAAATCATGCTGGCTGCTGTTCGGATAAAGCTTTACAAAGGGGCAAGGCAACCAGTTAGGAGGTTGTTCCACTAACTGAGGCAAGAGATGATTATGGCCCAGGCAGTAGGGGGAGAGACAGGAATAAAAGAATTCGAATTCAAGAGGTATTTAGACAGTTAAATCAACCACTTTGGTGATGGGATGGATATGGAGTGAAGGAACAGGTGGGGATAAGCAATACTCCTGTTTTACCTGCTCTCAATCCAAACCAATTATGAGTTGAGACACAGGTGGTTAATAGAATTGGGAATGAGGATGCATATGACTCACTAAGAACCCTGAATCACCGTGTCCCCTCCAGCTGAGCTCTGACTTTGGCTTCTTACCAGGAGATTCCTGGGACTCATTCTTTGCTTTTCAAGTCTGTCTTCAAATCCAGGGGCTTCAGCATTGTGGGCCACCTCCTGTGGAGGGGGCCAGGGGGCGAGTCATGGGCTGTGGTCCCAAACCAGGGAGGCTGCGCTGCCTCTGCGGCCGCTCTGCCTGCCTCCCCTCCCCCAGAGCCCTCTGGATGCGGCTGTAGCTCTGCTCTTGGCAACTGAAGTGTTCTGTTTTGTTTCATTTTTTTTTTTTTAGAACAAAATTGTTTGGGATCAGCAGGTTTATCCACAGCCAGCCTTGATCTATCAGCTTTCAGTCAGAAAACTGATTTCTCTTCAAGACTCAATCACAGTAAGGTACAGATGAGTTTTCTTCAAGGGCTGCACTCGGCCTCTCTAAGGACATGTCACCCTGATGACACCAGAGAGGCAGCCTCCATAGTCCCTCCCTCCCCGTCAAGTGTACTGGCTGCAATTTTGTTCATTTTCTGTAGCCTTGGCCGAGGTTGTCAGCAAATCCCTCCTCGTCCTTCTCCCCTCCATGTGAAGGACGTTAACCAGAGGACAAGTTTTCCATTTCAGTAATTACTTCCACGCTGCTTTCTGGATTCTCCTCCCTGCCACGTCCACAGCCACCTGAACCTCAACGTTAACCCAAACTTCTTCCTCGCCAAGCCTTGGCAAGTTCTGAGAACAGCTGGCCCTGTGACAGCATAGGGTGGACTGCCCAGGTCCCCGTGTACCCGGCTTTTATTCTCTAAATACAGTCAGCCCTTCCTATCCTGGGCTTGGCATCCACAGATTCAACCAACCACGGATCACAAACGGTATTTTCATATCTCCAACTGCAGATTCCCAAACACCCGTGGAAAAAACGGTTTCCCATGCATGATTGGTTACATCTGAGGCTGCGAAGGGCTGACTGTAGTTAAATTTGAGGGGAGTCTAAGTTATATGTAGATTTTCGACTGGGGGTGTGTGGGGACAGCTCCCGTAGCCACCCCATAAGCGTGAGGACCTGAACAGGGCGTGCACACCTGCTCTTGCCCTGCGGCGGGAACGCTCGTGGGAAGACAGCTGCTACCTTCGCCTAGTGCAAGGGCACCGGAGCCGGGCCTGGTACCGTCACTGTCCCCAAATGAAGCCAACACATGCTTCCCAACACACAATCTGGTTATGGCATTTGACTTTTTAAATTATTTTAACAGACTTCACCTGAGACGGCATCGTCCTCTCTGATCTAGAGCTCTGCCCTAGGACACGGCTGAGCGTCAGCCATGGAGCCGTGTCCCTGCGCGGCTCCGCTCTGCTGCTCCTCAGCTGAGACTCAGCCCCCACCGTTAAAATAGGGGGCACACACTTTAGGGGTGGTCGAAAGGAGTAAGCCAGGCCATATATAATAACTGCATCCATAGGTCCTTGGAAACTGCAACTTCAGCAAAACGACATATAAAGAAACCAATTAACCACAGGCTAATGAATATGAACCAGATGACACAGCATCTCATCAATGTTATAACAAAACAACGTCGAATGAAACATGACTCGACAGCCTGCTGTTCTTCACAGGGCAATGGTTCCTGCTCACCGAGGGGGACCATTTGCAAGGGTTGTGGAGGGACTTTTTGGTTTTGTTTGTTTTGGCTTTGGTCATACATTTAAATTCTTGGCTTCCCCAAAGCCCCACGTCATCTCTGCATCTCCGTGCTGCCGGGTCTGCTCTCCAACAGGAACCTTAGCTCCTGGCGACCGAGAGAGGTGACTGTCCCTGTTACAACCCAGGTGGTCCATCCCAGGTAACTGTGCAGGTAGAGCTGTGGGACCGGGCCAAGAACAAGACAAGAGGACAAGAGGTAGGGATGAAGGTCATTAAGACTTACTCTGTGCCGAGCGTGATGCCAAGTCATTTTCCTGCACTCTCTCTTTCATTTCTTCTTCCCAGCAGTCCTGTTATAACTGCCCCCTTTACGGACATGGAAACTAACACTTAGACAGTTAAGTCATTTTCTCAAAGGCGTCCAGCTAGCAAGTAGCAAAGCTGCAAGCAGAAGTCAGTCTCTGACTAAAGAGCCCAGGATCTCACCCTGTGGGGTCTCAGTTTCTCTGAGAAAACAAAACCCTTTCTCCAACCTCAGGAGGCTCCGACACGTGGGGAAGGCAGATGCCGTTGAACTGGAGCCACCTGGGGCGCGCCTGCACCTGGGCCCAGTGGGAACTGGGTGGGTAATAAATGGGCGGGTCCTCGACGTCTCCTCAGCCTCACTGTCTCTGCAGGTGGGAGGGGGCAGTTCCTGCTTTGAAAGTAAGTATGAAAGAAAAATACCAGAAGGGGCAGTCTCTTTCCTCTTTTAACACAACATAACTGGTTCTTTAAAAATACTCTGCACTTAAGACAAGTACCATATGATTTGCTCATAATTTAATGAACACACTGAACTACCAAGCAAAAGAGAGACAGACTGGCAGATAGAAAGCAGGCAGACAACTGGAGGGAGAGTGATTTGGTGAAGAGGGGGTTAGGGTTGAGCAAAAAAGAAAAAAGAGAGTGAGACACCAGCGTGGTGATTGCAGAGGTGAAGGGGGATGGGTGGAGGTGGAAGAGGACATAGAGGGGAAAATGGTGATGGAAAAAATAAAATAAAAATTACTTTTAAAGTAGAGAAAAATAAAAATGAAAATACTCAGCGATTGAAACTGGTGCTGAGGAGAGACACCAGCCTTAGATGTGGGCCCGGGAGGTGGGGTGGGGTCTCCACCACCCATGTTTGAGGTTCTAAACTCGGGCCAGGCCAGAGACTTTCCGTTTCCCTGTGATGGGTCCACAGCCAGTTCCTGCACTCTGAGGCTGGTCTCTTCCCCTCGCTGGGCTTCAGCTTCCTCATCTGTACAGTCACTGGGGGGTGGGTGTCAGACCTCCAAGGTTTATTCCCCCTGCCCTGACGTTTTATGACGCTGCCTGAGATAGAGGTCCTAGGCACGGCCAGAGCATCATGGTCTCTTGAGAGAGCCTTGAAGCTCATCAGCACTCCTGGGACAGTGGAGAGAATGCAGCAGGTGTCCTCTCCATCACCTGAGCAGGTGGGTCTCCTCTCTGCAGTCGCCATGGAGGGGTGGCAGCTCTTGTTAGCGCTGTGGACCGTCCCACCCATCTGGGCTGGGGACAAGCTGCTCAATGTCTGCATGAAGGCCAAGCACCACAAGCAAGAGCCCGGCCCGGAAGACCAGCTCTACGAGGAGGTGCAGAGGCCAGACCTGGTCCGGGGGTGGAAGGCGGGCTCCTTTGGCAAATCAGGGAAGGGACACAAGGTGGTTTCTGAACCCTCATCAATCCTGATTCATTTGGTTTCTTAGCTTGGGATTTGGACAAAGCCCACTGGAGGGACACGATGACCTTTTGAGATCATAATTGCTGAGCGATTCAAGGTCCCCATCCCTGAGCTACCCGTTCACTAGGGGAGCAGGGACAGAGGGTGATCCCAGAGGCCTGTCACTGGTTCAGCATAGATTCAAACAGAGTCCTCTTTCTCTAGCCTTCCTACCAATAGACCCTGTGGAAACATGACTTACGTGACCCCTCCCCAAGCTCCTAGAGGCAACTGGCAGGGGTGTGGGAGGAGGAGCAGAGCTGGCACCTACCTGGCTTACTGAGCCCTTCTCAGCCATAGTGCCCTCCCACTCAGTGCAGCCCCGCCTTCCCCGGGGTCTCATGGGGCTCCTCTGCTGCCCCTCAGGAGCTGAGACCCTGGGACCCTAAAAGTCATGTTTCTAGGGAACTGTGACAGCTTGTGGCAGGGAGCTCAGTGTGCAGGTGCCCTTGGATAGCAGTACTGACAGATGATCAGCATCCCTTCTATACAGGAGGTGCTGGCCTAGAGGCATCGCACTGGCCCAGGTCCTTCTGGCCCAGGACATTTTTCTTTCTACCCTAGAAACCCATCAACTCCCTGCCCCTTAGTCCTTACCACCCCCGATACCAGTTTCCTTCCTCCGCCTTCAGTGCGTGCCCTGGAAGGACAATGCCTGCTGCACGGCCAACACGAGCTGGGCGGCCCACCTGGATGTGGCCCTGCTCTACAACTTCAGCCTGGCTCACTGCGGCTTGATGATGCCGGCCTGCCAGAGGCACTTCATCCAGGCCGTCTGCTTCCGCGAGTGCTCCCCAAACCTGGGGCCTTGGATCCAGCAGGTGGGAAGACTGGCTGGGGCGGCGCAGGCACAGCTGTGCAATGCCCTGGTACTAGAGCCCGGTTCCAGGGTGCCAGCAGGGTCAGGAAACGCTGTCCCCCGAGGGCAAGAGCAGAGTCAGAGGCCGCTGTTGGGGAAGGGATGGAGAGGAAGCTGCCTCTGGAGAAAGGCCCTGGAGGGAGAAGGGTCAGAGGAGAACAGTAGGATGGGGGACTATCTGGATCCCATCTTCCGTTTATAGGAACAGAAGCTGTATAGCCGGGGACAAACGAATCTCTCGGCCTCATTGTTCTCATTGATAAAATAATCCTTAGAGACTTCATCACAGCACATGTTCACATGGTACCTGGCCCAATAGTACTGATGGTCTTCAAATTTCACTTTTGTTTCTTGTCTCTGGCTGTGCGCGCACCAGGTGGCCCCCGGTGGGCCGGGAGAGCGCATTTCGGACGCACCCCTCTGCCGGGAGGACTGCGAGCAGTGGTGGGCAGACTGCCAGACATCCTACACTTGCAAGTCCAACTGGCATGGCGGCTGGGACTGGAGTCGAGGTGAAGGGTGCTTGACACAGCCGGGGGGAGGGGGGCAGGGCCTGGGAGACCCCAACCTGGGGGGCAGGTGCCAGCCTCCTCTGCTCCTCCAAAGCAACGGATGGGGCTGCGAGGACGGGAGGGTGGGAGGTAAGTGGCCTTAATCCCCCACAGGGAAGAGCCGCTGTCCTGCAAGGGCCGCCTGCCATCCTTTCCCGCATTACTTCCCCACGCCAGCCGACCTGTGTGAGAAGGTTTGGAGCAACTCCTTCAAGGCGAGCCCTGAGCATAGGAACAGTGGGCAGTGTCTGCAGAAGTGGTTCGAGCCGTCGCAGGGCAACCCCAATGTGCCGGTGGTCCGCCTCTTTGCCAGCCCCGCCGCACCCTGGGCCCTCCCCTATACTCTGGCGGCCTTCTCTCTGCTCCTGTTGCTTCTTTCCCGAGATCTCCCAGCCACGCTCCTGCGCTGCCCCGGCTGTGGGCCAGGCCGAGCCCCGCAGCCTCCTTCCTGGGGCCCTTCCTGAGGCGAGCAGCACAGGCCAGGAGTTTGGGGGGCTCTGAGGCTGCAGGCGCTGCTGCCTGCGCCTCGCTCACTAGTTCCAGATCCCTCCGCACCTCTGCTCTGCCTTTCTGGGCAGCCAGGGGTGGGGAGTGACCAGGTCACTCATCCCATCCTGCTTTAAGGCTGGGGCTGGGCCTCTGATGTGCCTTCTCATGCAGCGAACACGCAGTCTTTCCCGGCAGAGCTGGTGGCGGCAGCCCTGGGCTCCCCTCCCCGATGGTGCCTCCACTGAAACACCAACTGGGCTTTCCGCTGGGACACCCGCTCTGTGACCCGCCTGGCCGAGCCCTGTGGTCAGGGAGCCGAGCTGCACAAAGCCCGGGCGAGTTGGTTGCTACTTACTTACCTAATCACGATTAACTTCCTTACGCACACCAGGCCTCTCATTGCACCCTCACGCTACTCTGGTGGGAGTCCTGCCAGCGCCCCCTTTTGTTCGGTAAGTGTCCAGGGGGAGGGTGCCCGCCCTGGCCGGTGGCTCCGTTCTGGACCCCAAGAGCGAAGCAGCTGCCCCCACGCTCTCAGCTTCCCCAGCGCAGCCGGAATCCTGCCCGCCTGAGTTCCAACCCAGCGGCACCCGCTTTCTGTGACTTGGACGAGTCCCCTGATCTTCACTGGGGACTGTCTGGCCCTCCTCTCTGCTGAGAAGACTCAGGTCGTGGGACCAGATGATCTTAACTAAAAAAAGGAAATGGAAAAGCCGGTGCCTGAACCCCGGAGCTTCCCAGCATGGATGGCGCCTCCCCTCAGCCTTCTCCTTGACAAAGAGGCTGCTAATGTTTCTGCACCTGCGTTCCTTGGCTGTTCTAACAATTACTCCTCTTGCCAGACACCAGCAAGCCCTGCTCATCAGGTCAACTCCACCCCAGCCCCTCCCACGCTCACCTTGATCATGCTCCTTCCTGGAGCAAATCCTGTTGCAGAGAAAGGCAGGAAAACCAACCAGAGAGTGACCTTTCCAAGTGAGGTGCACAGTGTGGAGTAGGGGACACAGGAGCAGTGGCGACAAAGCAATTCCCAGAAGTCTGCAAGAATGAGGGTGGGTGTCCTGGGAAGGCCTCACCAAGAGGGCGAGGCTTAAGCCCCGCTGAAGAGGAGTCACTTCCTGAGAACAGAAAGAAAATCTTAGACCCAGCTGCATGCCCAAGGAATGGACTGTATGAAGCACGACCTTTCGTTGTTCTTAATCAATAAATTGTGGCTTCAAAAACACATACAGGTAAACTTTCTTAAGAATTGAGGACTGTATGAAGTGTCTGAGCATGTGTGCTTGGTAATAAAGCTGAGACTTTAATCACTTTTTTTGGTATTCTTAGGTATAAATATAAAAAATAGTCAAAGGATGGTTAAAATCAAGACAAACAAAACAAGACTAGTTCTGGGAGCCCTAATAACTGTTACTGTTTATTGATCACTTTCTCTATGCCTGGGGCTCTGCTGAGCTCCTAACATGCATTAGCTCATTTGAGCCTCACCAATGCCTTGAAGTACACATGTATCCCCATTTTCCAAATTAGGACAGAAGCATGTGTCAGTTTGAAATCGAGTAAGTCTGACACCGCCGTCCCAGCTCATGAGGCTTACACCAAACACCCTGGTTGTCACTGAGTTGGGCTGGCGCAAACGTGGGTCATAGAGGGAGAGGAGGCTGGTCATGGTCCACAAAGAGAGAATGAGCTCACTTATGTGGTTGGGAGGAGTGATGGATTTTAAGTAAACTGTCAGATTTGCAGTTACGTTATTTTTTAAATCAGTGATCCATGCACATGACTGAAATGCTTATGTTAAAGGATTTCTAACAGCAAGAGAGCCCCGGCCATCCAGCCCCTCAGTCCCAGGGCCCCTACCCAGGGGCACCCACTTTTAACCCACTCTGGGCTTAGCTATGCAAGAGCTGCAAAAGATGGGTAATCTTTTCTGCCACCCATTCAGACCCCCCCTCACCCCCCGTTCTATTAGCTTCACAACTTAATCTTCCAATCTTTTTAATTTTGGCAATCCACTTTTAATTTCCAGGAGACTTTGTATTTTTTATCCCCTTATTGTTCTTCACAACCTGTTGTTTTCAGTTTTATGGATGCAGTATCTTCTCAAAACTCACTGAAGATCTAATTAGATATTTTTATAAAAGCTTGTTTCTAGTGTCTGAATGACCTGTTTCCTCCGAGGTCAATCTGTTCTGTTTATCTTGATCTTCTGTGTGCTGCTGGTTTTCTCTGTGTCTGGTGACCTTGGCCATGGGTCCATATTTATGAGTGAGGTTTGGGTTGGTTTTCTGTTTAGCTGCTGTGGGGGTCCTCTCCCCTGAGTAGCAAAGCTGATGAGCTGTGTGTGTGTGTGTGTGGAGGGCTTGTTCACTAGAAGACTGCCTTAGAGTGCAGAAATAAATGAAGAGCAACCAAATGAGGACAAGCAAAGGCTGTTTATTCAGAGCTTCCCTAACAAGGGAGTCAGCCACCATTACGTGTATTTTGGCAGAGACTCAAAGACAGGCAGAGTTGGGGGAAGCTTTTTTCGTGAGGCTGTTTGCACTGAGAAGCTGTGGGTGAGCTAACCAGAAGCGGGGCATCCTATGTGTTTGGTTAGAGGTGCATTTTTTTTATTTTTTATTTTTCTGGTTGGTCCTCAGCTGGAAGCAAGGATTAAAAATTAGGGAAGCTTAATCAAGTCTTGGCTGTTCGGGGCTAATTGTTAGAGGGATTATTGTTTGGCTTCTGGGCTGGTTGCTAGAGATAGCGGCCTACCTTCCTGTTAGTGTGACTTTTAGATAGCAGGCTAGCTTGGGGCTGATTGCTGGAGATTATGGGTTAGAATGCTATTTTTGTATCTCTCTGACCATTGTCCACTTGTACTCTAGTCTCTCCAGACTGAGTTGGCAGGAGCTGTATTGGAGTGCAGAGCCCTCAATGCTGGACTTAGTATGATTCTTTCTGGGGTGTCAACACTGTGCATTTCACACCATGTGAAACCTCAGCACTCTCCAGAATTTAGAGAAGACCTCTTCCAAGTTCCCCCTTCCCAGGGGTTCAAGTTGGGCTGCCTGAGCTGTAGATGTGGGCAGAGGACGTGGGGCAAGCACGGGTGGACGTTCTCTCTGTCCTGCCTGCTGACTCTGAGTCTTCCACGGCAGCGCCCCCCACCTCTGGCCACCTCTGTTCCTTTGGCTGTGCTATTATATGATTCCATTTTCTAAATACTTGTTGAAATCTCTAGCTCACTGGTGTTTTCCTTAACAATCTTTTAGCAAAGGATCACTTAGAAATAAACATTGTAATGAGATCCCAGGTATTCATTCCACCTTCTATAAGGAGCAGCTGCAGATATTTGAAAAGATGTCATTGTTTTGCAAAGAGCAGATTGAAAGAGAGCCAAACTGAAGACACAGAGGCTGAGGACAATGTGTAGCATTAATTTGCAGAAGGAGAATGAAATAGAAATGCAGGTGATACCAATCAAATTGTGAGACACTCTCTAGGAGGGACAAAGGCAGGCTACAAGGGAGACAGTAGACCCAAAGGGGCAGATTTGGGAACTACTAGGAAGATAGAGCCCATAGGCCTGGCCTGTTTGGCTCAGTGGTGGGAGCGTCGGCCTGCAGACTGAAGGGTCGTGGATTCGATTCCAGTCAAGGGTGTGTACCTGGGTTGCAGGTGCCTGCCTTCCCTGGCCCTGGTCTGGGTCATTTGTGGGGGAAACCAATTAATGTGTCTCTCTCACATCAATGTCTCTCTCTCCCTCCCTCCCTCTCTTCCACTCTCTCTAAAAAATTTTCAGTAAGGATACCTCCCCCCAAAAAAAAGATAGGGCTCATAGAAATTTGGACCGTAGCTTTGTATACAGTGCCATAAAATACAGTAAGTCCTTGCTTAACGTCGTCGATGGGTTCTTGGAAACTGTGACTTTATAGCAAAAGGAATTTTCCCTAGGCTAATGGATATAAACAAGAGTTAAGTTCCTACGGCATACTTCTGGTCACAAAAACACCACCAAAATTCTCAATAAAGACCTAAAACATTTCTAATATTAAACATTGAAGTAAATGTAAGCTATGCATACGTTTAAGCTAAGAAAGATTTATAAAAACAAGATCATTATTTTCTGAACCTGCTTATTCCCCTTCGGGCTCGAGGGGGACCGGAGCTATATGGCGTTCGGGGTGCCAGGTGGGAATCCACCCTGAACGGGACGCCCTTCCATCACAGGGCACACCCACACCCACGGACACTCACTCAGACTGGGCTGATTTAAACATGCTGAGTCACCTAGTGGGCACATGTTTGGGACGTGGAAGGAAATCAGAGTTCTCAGAGAAACCCATGCAGGCAGTGGCCTTGATGTGAATCTTTTTTTTTTTTTTAATCATCAACATTATAACAAAATGTTGAACAAAGCAACATTATCTGAAGACCTGCTGTAAACATAAGATAAAATGTGGAGGAGAGAACTATCACAAAGGAAACAATGACCTTGGATATCTCAACTCAGAAGCTCTCATTGGGAAGAGGACTTTCTCCAGCCTACACTGTACAGGTCTAGGCTGGGAGGGGGGATGGCAAAGGGCATTCCATCTCCTGGATGCAACCCAGTCACTTTTCCACTATGGAAACAGCAAACCCTGTTCAAGTCCTTCCTCAGAGACTGCTGGGAAGTTCTGGGTAGCAGGTGAAAAAGAAAAACAAAATGACCCTCTTTTGCATGCATCCCTTGCTTTATGACCCCTTTCTAGGTCACGTTCCTAAGTAAGACCCCTTACCTGAGGGCAGAAGCTTCTACCGCCTGACAGCGGTGCACAGGGTTCTTGTTCCCAGACCACCTCTGCTGCCTGAAAAAGGAGTGCTGAGCACCCCTCCCACCCTCCTTCACCATGTCCCACCCCTCCTTTCCCTACTGCCCCCCGCAATTCCCTCCCTCCACAAAAATAACTGCTTCCTTTGGTACTTCCCTCTGTCCCATTGCTTTTGC